CTGGAGCTCGGTAACCCAGAAGACACTGCGCGCCTCGGGCCGCTCTAGCGCTCAGTCTCCCGCACTCGCCTGGGGAAAGGACGGGTCCCCCGAAGGTCCACGCGCGAGTTCCCACCGGCTCCAGCCCAGGGTTCACACCCTGTCACCCCTGGATCTCATCTTGAAGTACTCTGCGCGCTGGGGCAGGGGCTGGAGACCGAGACCCCGCCTCAGTGCTGAGCGGCCTGGCCCTGGACTGCAGGCCATGGACGCTTGCTGTGTGCTTGCACCAGTGGCGTCGCCCGAGGCCAGAATCATGGACCGCGTGCTGGTGGTCTCCCCGCACCAGGGGTTGACATCAGGCCTCGGGAGCTGGCATTGTGGCGCGAGGAACTGGGACCATGTTCCAAGGCTGGGGCCCTTTTGCTAGGGGCTGAGATTATATGGCCAGGGCTGGGGTCCTGTTGCTAGGGACTGGGACTATGTTGCCAGGGCTAGAATCCCGTTGCTAGGGCCTGGGGTCAATTACCAAGGCTGGGGTCCTCTTATTAAGGCCTGGATTTGCTTTGCCAAGGCGGGGGCCCTGTTGCTGGGGATTGGGATGATGTGGATAAATCTGGTCCTATTGCTAGAGGGCTAGGTCCTATTGCCCTTGTCTGGGTCCTGGAGTGCCAAGGTGACGGTTCTGTTGCTAGGGAGCTAGTCTTGCTAGGGACTGGGATGATGATGGCGGGGTCCTGTTAACTAAGGGCTGGAGCTGATCTTTGCTGCCAGGGTTGGGTGAGTGCCTTGGGGCAGCTGTCGAAGAACTTGAATGCTTTCTTTAGGGTTTGGATGGTATTTCTGGTAACTGGCACAGTGGTGCTGGAAGTCAGGGTCCTGTTTGACTTTTGGTTCTAATATCTTAGAGGCTAAGGGCAGTTGCTAGGTGTTAGGTCGGTGGGGGAATATGAGAGAGAAGAGTGTAAGGGTTGGGAACCACTGGGAGGGGGTGCTCCCCCAGGCCCCAGGGGAGCTCCTTCACATTCCGCCTCATTACAGGGGGTCCTGGTGATTGACAGGCGTTAGTCAGGAGATCTGGCTGATTGGCAGGCATTTCCACCGGCATCTGATTGATGTTCAAAGCAGTGCGGGCTGCTTTGTTCTAAGTTGCCACTAAGTCGCCACCAAGTCGCTGCCACCGACCTAACACTAGGGACAGGGGTCATTCATTAATCCACATTTATTGAGTGCTTGCCGTATGGCAACCATTGTTGTAGGTTCCAGGTTACAGCAGAAGGTGAGGGTGATGGCCAGGAGATGAGAGATGACCAGGGGATGGGGATGATGAGCAGGTGGGCAGGGTGATGGCCACGTGGTCACCACAGTGGACCCATCTTGGGCAGGCAGGGTGCTAAGGACTTTCACAGCCACCTGCACAGGGTGATCCTGGACCTAGGGCTTGAGTGGTTGCACCAGGGCCCTGGGGGAGGGGCGGTGCTAGGGGTCCCTCTGTCAGGAGACCCTGGGCCTCGCACCACTCTTGTCCACCTTGAACTTGGCAGTCCAGTCTGGGACATTGCTCACGTCCCTCTCCGACTACCCCACCTGCCCGTCAGACTCCACACCCTGTGGGCCATTGCCTCTCCTGAAACCTTATCCTCCTTTCTCTGCCCAGAAAACTACTATTAATCCTACCAACTAGGCCCCAGTGAAGTGTGTTGTCTCTGAACAAAGGAGACGAGATCCTGTCTGTGGGGGGTGCTCCCCCAGGCCCCAGTGGAGCTCCTTCACATTCCCGTGGCTCTGGGGTCCACGGCTGTGACTGCGTCACTGCGACCTCGACCTCCCATGTCTTGTGGACTTCTGAGTGTCTCAGTGTCCCAGGTTTCTCTTTCTCTCTTTTTTTCTAAAGACACTCCCACGTCGAGGGTTCACAGCGATCCCCGTTTTCATCGAGCCTGGCTGCAGGACCCTGTTCTGGGGACCTGCGGCACTGGCCCTTGTGCAGACTTCACTTTTCAGAGCTGAACGTGACGCTCAAGGTCTCTCGCACCTGCACTGAGCTCCTCGTCCATGCTCCTGTCCACACTCCGCCAGAGGTCCGTTTTCCTTGTTGGTGCGTCGTGTCGGTGCCCAGTGGTGGGTTCTTTTCGACATGACCACACATGCCTGGAGTTCAGTTTACTGTTTCAGGTCCCAGTGACCCCAACCGCCCTCTTCCCCGACTGTGCTGCCCACCGTCCACTCATTTACTGGCTGGGTTGTGTTGGTGCTTTGTAGATGCCCGTGAAGGAGGTCCATTTATACACGCACAGCGCCATCTGTTGAACGCTTTCCACATTCTCCACTCACCTGCGCACCACCCAGCCGCCCTCTTCCCTGTGATTTCCTGTCCCCTGCCTGTCCCCTTGTCTTGCTCCAGCTGGCACACGTGAGAAAACACTGGGCCCTGGCCTGTCTCAGCCTGGCTTATTTCACTTAGCATCATGTCCTCCAGTTCCTCCCATCGACTGCCAAACGCCATGACTTAATTCTTTTGGCTGAGTAGAGAATCATCTGTGCCACATTTTCTTTATCCATTCATCTGTTGATGGCCACCTGGGCGGGTTCCATAGCTTGGCTACTGTGAATCGTGCTGCTATAAACACTGAGGTGGCTGCGTCATGATAGGGTGCTGATTCTGGTTCTTTTGATGAATACCAAGGAGTGGCATAGCTGGGTCACATGGTAGTTCCGTTCCTAGTTCTTTGAGGACTCTTCATTCTGCTTTCCAGAGTGGCTGCACTGATTTGCAGTCCCACTAACAATGAACAACTGTAAATTTCCCCCATATCCTTGCCAGCGTTTATTATTAATTGTGTTCTTGAAGAGTGCCATTCTACCACAGTGACATGGAATCTCAATGTAGTTTTTTTTTTTTTTTTTGGTACCCAGGGCACTCAGGCACTGAGCCACATCCCCAGCCATTGTTTATGTTTTATTTACAGACAGGGCCTTGCCAAGTTCCTGAGGCTGGCTTTGAACTCATGATCTTTTAACCCCTGTCTTTGATCCACTGTGACATGACTTTCCAGAGGGTCCATCTTCACAGTTCATGAGCTCTGCTGTCACTTCGTTATCCACGAGGAGGCCATAGTTGTATAAGGGTTCATCTTGTGTCATATGTCTATGAGTTTGACAAACAAATAACAGGTTGTTGCGACAATGATCCTGGAGACAACCCAACTCCCCTGGTTACCCCTCCTATCAACCTGCTGTCAAGTGCTGTTGGTGAAGCTGCAGAACAGAGCAGGCACCACTGCGAGGATCCTCATCCTTCCTGGGTTGTGCCTGTCAGCCTCCCAGCCTCCCTCCCAACCTCCCTTCTAGCCTCCCACTCTTTGCCTCTGGATTTCTGCAGCGGCTGCCCACCCCAGGTCTCTTGCTCTGCAAGGTCTGTTCTCCCCACAGGTGTTAGAGGGCACTCCAGCGCCTGACGTGCATGTCCCTGCTCTGTTCCCAGTCCTCTCTGGGCATCAAAATACATTGTCGAGTGGGGTGGGGTTGGGGCTCAGTGGTAGAGCGCTCGCCAAGCATGTGCAAGGCCCTGGGTTCCATTTGTTAGACCAGGACGCAAGAAAAGACCACTGACTCCAATTAAAATCAAATTAAAGCCAGCTTATTATTTCAGCTGGCCGGGCTGCCTCTCCCAACAAGAACCTTGGGGACAGGAGCCCTGCAGTTTCCTGCAGCCCAGCTTTATAGCCCAGAAAGTTACACACGGGTGTGTGTGTGTGTGTGTGTGTGTGTGTGTGTGTGTGTGTGTGATAGATGACAAAACTCTGAGGAGCATAACACAAAGGCTAGTTTACGTTTTTGCTGGCCCCGACATAAGAATTTATGAAGGTCATTAGAGCCTCAGAGAGGGTGGTTATCTGGCCAGGGAAGGCCAAGATGGATGGGGCATCACCAAGGTTTCAGAGAGGGCTGCTATCTGGTCAGAGAGCCAGGCAGGGGTGAGTTCACGGCCCGGGCAGGCATTCTAGGCAGGTTCAGAATTTGCAGTAATTTATTGTAAAGCCAAAATTACCTCTCAATGGCTTTGTGGTGAGAGGGCTCCCATTTTAAGAGAAAATCAGGCTGGGTCTATCACATCCTCAGCAATGCATAAAAATAAATAAATAAAACAGAGGTGTTGTGTCCAAGCAAGACTAAAAAATAAAATATTTAAAAAAGATTACGTTGTGGGTGGGTGGAGTGGTGCACTCCTGAAATTCCAGACCCATGGGAGGTGGAGGCAGGAGGATCACAAGTCCAAGGCCAGGCTCAGCAGTTTAATGACACTGACTGAAAATAAAATATAAAAACGCTGAGGAAGTGTCTCCCAAGTGTATTGTGTCCTGTCTGCTACGTGCCTGGGTGTCCACCCTAACCCTGGAGCCTCCTGAAAGCCACAAGACGATGGGGAAAATCCAGTGGTAGGGGATTCAGCTCAAGGAGACTCTTCAAAGTCCATTTCAAGAGGGCGCAGCAGGACAGAAGCCACTGGAACTGGGGAAAAACAAACGTGAACTGCCCAGGGTCCCTGAGTCTCCGAGGGACCTACCCAGTGTCCACTGAAATGGAGGAAAGGACGGGCTCCAAGGGCACAGTCCTGGAGGACACCGACAGGCCCAGCTCCAATCAGCTGGAAGACAACAGCCGTCCACTGTTGAGAGCCACAGCTGAAGGGGCCCCAGCAAACTTCCAGCTGCTGGCTGATGATTGGCTCACAGTGGCCCCAGCAACATCTAGCTGATTGGCTCCTCTGCGGTGATGCTCATTGGGCTGTTTC